AATGAGAAATAAGGAACTGTCACTCTCTTGTCTGGGCTCCACCAGCCTCCACTGTGGTTTCCTCAGGAGCCAAGTAGCACATATCAGCGCTGCGAATTGAGCTTCTCTTCTTATTTATTTATTTTTTAATTTCATTTTATAATAATTGCCAGGGTGTGGCAGCTTCTCTTTCTCCAGAAAATAAAACCTGTCTAATTGATTATTCAGCTTGGCAGCCTTCCTTTGAGAGAAACGTATCCGTATGAGGCTGCTGTCGATGGATCACTCGTTGGGGCGGGGAGACATCAGATGTAATTCATGGAGGACACTTTTCCATAGTGCCCTGGATGCAGCAGGGACTCAGCAGTTGGCTGCAGCCAGGCTTGTTGCTGGGAAGCCGCAGCTCCTGCACGCTGAGACTTTGAAATCCCTGGCCATCGCTCCCTCAGCTTCTGATCCCAGGCCTCCTCTTGAATTAAAAGACACATTTCCCCCTCTTTCTCTCCCTTTCACTTCCTTTTTATTGTATGGAGATATTAATATGCTTCCTAATGGATAGATAGCATGGAGAAGCATGACATGTTAGAATGTTCTAGAATACAAGTACAAGGAGCAAGATTTCCCTTTGTCATTAGCTCCTTAGTGACTTTGAAACTGTCCCTTCCCAGAAATCTTGTGGGATTCTCCTCCACAGCCTTGAAAACCACAGATGTTTTAAACCACAAGCACCTCTTCTGCTCCCAAATGCATAGTTATTTGCCCCTCCCCCTTTTTAAAATAAATCTGGGTCCTTCACCTTTTACCTCATAGAAACCTCTCCATGGGGGGGGGGAAGAAAAACCGCTCCTTTTTGTCACAAAGAAGAATGAACATAAAAGAAATTCTATAAATAGGATTTTGTGGAGTGTAGGAGTTGGTCCCTAAATTTCCCATGAGACGTAGGCAGTTAGAGGAAATGGGACGATCTTTTCAAAGCTTCCTACACACTCAGGTTCCTAATGAACTCGAATGATTTGTGATTCTCTCCCATCATATGTACTCAGATTCCTTCCATTCTGAAAAAAAGAAAAAACAAGAAATACAGGAAAATCGTCACTTTCAGCTGGCTCTGCATAACTAGGCAAGGCTTTGATTGTCATTGGTCACCGCGGAGGTCACTACCAGGGCCTTTTCTGGTTGGTAGCCAGACAAACAGGAAGAACTTCTATGGCATGCTCAAAGACATGCAGCAAAGCCAAGGTTCCAGCCCTTCTCTCCTTTTCTAGAACATTTCTATCTTCTCACACACCCTATGTCTCAGCACGCTCTTCCAAGACAGAATTTACCCTTCCGTCCCTGCACTGGACTAGCTTGCCCCAGGGCATGATGGGAGACTGTGCTCCGTGGCTGGAGCTACCTGGCCATCTCACCCCTTCTCCTGCACACAACGCTCTGAGAGCTGTGTCACCTGCCACCGGGCCTGAATACTGCTGCACACCATGCAGAAGATGCGTTCTGTATCCCGTGGCTAGATGGATGAGAAGCCTCACTCTGAAGACTTGATGTTAGCCTCCATTTGAGTCCATTCAGAATGTCTGGCAGCCAAAGGACAAGCCCAGAAGATGCTCCCTTCATGAGACCCTGCTTATCTCCCAGAAGCCTCCGGTCCCAAAGCTTCCCAGCAGGTGTCCAGCCCTTCGGTCACTAGACCACGATTTTGTATCTTGAGCCTAGGTTCTTCCTGGGACCCTGGGCTGGCCATCCTCCCCACAGCTCCTGTACCCTCTGCTGTCTCCAAGGGAGGAGGGATACAGATCTGACCTGTGTGACCTTGGGCAAGTCCTAACCCTGAAATGGGACTGGGGACCCCTCCCTCACACACATGTGCTTACAAGGACTCTGAGACCTCAGGAAGGAAAGGACCTTGCATACAGATGGTGCTCAAGAAAACCTACAGAACCCAAATCTCTTTAAGTATTTTCCGTTGGCAGGGGTGGTCCTCTGCTCTGACTGTAGTACTGCTGGGGAGCATGGGTTACCTTGGAAAGGGGATAAACGAAGAATTCTCCCTGGTAAATATGGCTTCTGTTAAAGGTCTGACACGTCTATTTTCTTCCTGTCAGGGAAAAAAAAAGAACAATAGCTCTATACCAGTGGTCAGTTAGTTTCCGTGTTTACCCTTCATTAACCCATGGAGCAAGCCAGGCAGCTTCCAGGAGCAGGTAGTCCTGAGAACACTGGTGTGACCGTCAGGAAAGGCCCTGGGCTTTTCTTAATGGAGCTTTGGAAATCAGCAGCCTACTCAACAGCATGACTAAAGAGACTAGAGCAGCGTCCCTAGCAGAACCCAATAGACATGGCCATCTCTGTGACGGGTGACATGAAAAGCCCACCGTCCGCTGACATGTTTTCCTCAGACTCAGTAACTACGCGCTGACAGGCTTTGAAGTCTGCCATGGCGCCTTGTGATTGAAATATGGAACAGGACGTGAATTGTTGGTCTGGAAAATGCAGACGTGTGGGAAGAAGGAGTGGAAGCTAGCAAGTGCGCCAGGTCAGAGGCGCAACGGCCCCATCCAGGCACCACGCTGGCATACCCACAGCCAGGCACCGCACTGGCACACCCACAGCCAGTCACCGCGCTGGCATACCCACAGCCAGGCACCACGCTGGCATGGCACACTCTCAGCCAGTCACCGCGCTGGCGCACCCGCAGCCAGGCACTGCGCTGGCATACCCACAGACAGGCACCACGCTGGCATGGCACACTCTCAGCCAGTCACCGCGCTGGCGCACCCGCAGCCAGTCACCGCGCTGGCACACCCACAGCCAGGCACCACGCTGGCATGGCACACTCTCAGCCAGTCACCGCGCTGGCGCACCCGCAGCCAGGCACCACGCTGGCATGGCACACTCTCAGTCAGGCACTGCGCTGGCGCACTCACAGCCACTGGCTAAGGAATGGGTCTGGATCTGGATAGGGTCCTGTCTGGTGCCCGTGGAGCTGTTCACACAAGGGACAATGATAAACGGGCAGTCGAGAAGTACTTTCCCGGGAGCACAGAGGTGACGCATTAGAACTATCTAAAAGTGTTGCGTGCAGCTCGGACACCCCGACAGCTGGGCCAGAGCCCAGCCTTCAGGATTCCGAGGCAAATCCCACCTCCCAGAGCGATCATGTCCAGAGGGGAGGTGGACAAGCCAGTGGCTGCCCTAGGCTGTCTCCACCTGGGTTTCGTTACCTCAGTGGGCAATGAAAGCTTGGTCTTGTGGCCTGAGAGAGGGAACTGGGGAGCAAGATGACATGAGACTGACATGTGTCACCAGGCATCACACAGGTCCCCACAGACACCGCCTCAGCAGCCATATGGGCAGGTGTTACCTCCACCTTAGAGATCGGGAAACAGAGATGTGTAGATGAGTTTAAGAAAACTACCCACAATCTAGATGCTGTTCACCCGCCCATTCTCGGTGGAGGGCGGGGCTCCAGACACTACCTCTGTGGCTTAGATGGGCGCACTGGGCGTACCGCAGCATCCAACTTAAATCTCATTCTTCTGACTCCCCACGCCTGAGCAGAAGGAGCATCAGAAGCATCTGCCCTCCCCCTGGCTCCGGATGACCAGGAACGAGCATGCAGCGCGGTGCCTGCCGGAGGGCTCTCCAGGGATGGGGGCCCAGCCTGTGCTCTCCCCTGTGTGTCTGGGCCCGCGGGTGGCTGATGCCGGGCTTGTGTAAAACCGCCAGGGTGACAAAGAGAGGTGATGTGCAGCCTCTTGTCTTCATATTTGGCCTCAAGGACTCATCTGGTGAGGTCTGGGAGGAACGGCTCCCACACGGCAGTGATGATGTGAGCCTCTTCATTGCCAGGGCATAAGAACATGACGAGCAGCTACCTGCACCGACAGGAGAGGGCAGGGCTTGCACCCTGAGATAGCCAGTAAGAAGATGAGCGCACATAAGGGAGAGTGTGTCTTAACTGTGGAGTTCCTGGGGCTGGGCTGGGGTTCAGCTGGTAGAATGCATGGACGAGGCTCTGGGCTCCATCCCAGGACCACAAAAAAAAAAAAAAAAAAAAAAAAGCAGGTGTAACCGGGTGGTGGTGGTGGCAGCGGTGGCGCACGCCTTTAATCTCAGCACTCGGGAGGCAGAGGCAGGCAGATCTCTATGAGTTCAAGATCAGCCTGGTGTACAGAGCGAGTTCCAGGACAGCCTCCAAAACAATACAGAGAACCCCTGTCTTGAAAAAAAAAAAAAAGGTGTAGTGGTACACACCTGTAATCCCAGCACTTGGGAGGCAGAGGCAGGAGTGACTTTCAGACCACCCTGGGCTATATGAGCCCCTATTGCAATAATAACAATGATAGCAGTAATAATATGATAATACAGAGAAAGAAGAGACAGCCTTGCCCCCTTTGGGAGTGGGCAGGGTTTTCGAGGTACAGCCAGCACAAGGAAAAGACTAGAGTCAACAGGCCAGAAAGGGAGGTGGCTTGCCCAAGTTCTCAGTGGCAGAGCCAGGATCTGGCTCCAGAATGGCTGTCTCCACAGCCTAGCTCTCAACGGGCCATTCATTGGCTCCCAACTAAAGCCACAGTCTCCACCCCCAGTTCCCACTTGAAACCTTTCCCCCTGCTCCTCTAGTGAGCTCCGAGAGTTCCTGGGAGAAAAACATGGCCGGAGCATAGACACGTTCTTCGTGAGCAGCTCCAGTGGCTTACACAGCAGAAGCTGACTTGCTGTCTGGAGGCCAGTGCTGAAGCCCTGGCAGAGAGGCGGCTACCAAGGGCTCGCTCTGGGCTTGTTGCAGCTGCTTTCTCTGTGGTGTGGAGCAGGGAAGCAGGCAAGCCCTCCTCCCCTCAGGGTCTTCCTACAAGGACACTAATTGATCTGCCAGGGCCCCACCCTCGTGACCTCTTTAAGCTCCAAAGACCCCACCAGTGGGGCTCATTGGGGCACAAAATTCAGTCTCCACGGGCTTGAAGGAAAGAGAGCCGGAAGCTCCCACAGTAGAGTAACACACTGTCTCCCTGTCGTGGCAGGAACTGTAAGCTGAGTAGCAGCAGCCTGTCCATGGCCGCAGTGGATATCCTCTACATCGACATCACAAGGAGATGGAACTCCGTGACCCTGGACCAGCGGGACTCAGGTACTGACGGCCGGCGGCCTCCCATCCCTCGGGGCCCTGGCCTGACAGGAGGGGGGAAGGGTCCGTGTGTCTTCGATCCTTTCATATTACGGAGGGGAGAAGGAAGATGAATTGAGGCCTGAGGCACCATCTGCTACCAAGGCTAAACAGCCCCTCCCCAGATGCCTCTCCCACCATTAGCTTCCTTCTTCCTGTTCTCTTCTTTCTTTCTTTTTTTTTTTTTATTTACTTTGCTTAAGGCTTTGACTCCGTCACTGCTGGAGGTAGACTGCTGTTCATTTATTCGTTTGCGGCCATGCATATATTTGCTGAGCACACAGTGGCTAGGCCTTGGGTAGACTAGAGAGCTTGGCTCTTGCCTGGAAGGAATGCTGTGGAGTTGAGACACGCGAAAAATGATGCTAACATAGCGGGAATGGGGTGGACTAGGATGGGGGTGTTCCTTCTCCCAGGAGGACACCGAAGACCTCTCAAGGAAGAGCCCATTGGATGGATCCCAGCAGGAGCACATGGAAAAGACCATTAAGGCCCGCTAACCCTACTAGCTCCAACAGAGAAGAGCACCATGGACAAGGGCATGAGATTGTGGTGAACTTTAAATGCCACACCAAAGACGTTAACTACGGCGCCCATGCTTTGCTCTTTCTTTGTGTTTTTCATTCTTCTGCTAGGATAATTTACCTTTGAGTGGATGACTTTCCCATCTCTGTCCTCTGAGCAGTCTAGTAACCATTACCAACATTTGTACAACTTGTCACAAAACTGCAAAGATTCTCTCATTAAGTGTCCCCGTGACCCAGCACACAGGTGTCAGGAGCCTCATTTCACAGCCAGTGAACAGCTCTAGCGACTGAGGTTGAGAAGTGGCCATGATCCAGGTACACACTGGCACCATCTCCCATGTCCTCTACTGTGTTGTCACCCCCAACTCAGACACACAGAGGCCACCCCTGCTGCACTGGTGTCTTGGTTCCCTGAGTGGGTGGAGAGGACGTGAAGTCAGAAGCAGAGATCTAGATGAGAAGTGGCTATGCCATCTCTTGCCAGCATCAGCCCCAAAGCCCTGCTGTCTCGTACTCTGGGGCCTCTCGTGTGTGTGTGTGTGTGTGTGTGTGTGTGTGTGTGTGTGTGTGTGTGTGTATGTGTGTGTTCTCCGGATGGCCCTGAGAGCTCATACTTCAGTGGCTACTAGTGCCTTTGGGGTCACTACCAACCACTGAAGGAGGTTAGCCTTGTTAGTGGATTCTTTCCAGTCTTACTGCTTGGGGAGACTCAGGAGCAACTATGCGATCACTGGTGTCCACTGGAGCAAATCTGCCCCTTCCCAGTTGTAGGCTAGAAATGCCAACCACAAGGACGCAGCCAGCCCATCCTGCAAAGTACTGACACTCAGAATCATCTGAGGTTAGCTTTGTGTTTGGTAGTGATGCCGCCTGATACCACTTGCTCTCTATGGCAAGCACTACCACTCGCTTTACATGGATGACACTGACTATGATCCCAGAGATGGGCCTGACTGTGTCCATTGTACAGAGGAGGAAACTGAGTCTCAGAGGCATAAATGGTAGACTAATACTCAACCATCAGCCCACCCGGCTTCCTGCCTGGGCCACTTCCTCCTACTGATTGTTGGGCAGTGATAAGATGCTGATCGGCTTGCTGCTCTGCTCATTTCAAAAGCAAAAGCAGCCATTGAGTCAGCAAGGTGAGAGTAGGACTTCAGCTGGCAGCGCCCCCCCCCCTGCCTCCCCGCCCCGAGAGCAGGAGGGCACACCGCAGGACACGTAGTCAGGACCAAGTGAGCCCATGTGACAGCTGACATCCTCAGAAAGGGAAGAAGTGCTCTGTCCACGAGCTGAACGCCACAGCGTGTCATCGAAGGATCCTGTGGAAGGGGCCAGATGAGTGGGTGGGGGTGGCGATGGAATTATTAAATATTGAAATTGATCAGGAGTCACAGCGGGAAGCTATTCATCATGTTCTATTGCTTCCAACCAGGGTTACCATCTGGCCCATTGTTCATCCCGAATAGCTTTGCGTGTTTTGTTTGCTCCTAAAATCACTCCCTGTAAGCAGAATCCACAGGGGCGGGGAGGGAGTTGTCCACAATATCAGCTCTGCAAAGAGTTTCTGCGGTCCATCAGGGTCTCTCTACTTTGCTGACCAAGCCAAGAAAGTGAGAAATCGCTTATATTTACCACAAGTGAAGCTGGGGCTGGGATCCCCAGACCTCTGCACCTGTCTGTGCCTGAAGGTGTAGAGCAGTAACTGCAGGCCATGAGGGACATTTAGAGACGCTTCACCCCGTGCTTATCGCCATTTATTCTCGTGGCTTTGATGAGCGAGATCACACCTGTTTTTGCAGGTGAGGACCCTGAGGTTCCAAGAGCAAAAGGGACTTGTTTACAGCCTCACAGCTAAGATTTGAACTCAGGCCTCAGCTGTCTGTCCCCTGTACACCTGGGGAGGGCCTTGGCTTGTGTGGGAGGACTCAGGTGGTACAGACAGGGAGGTGTGCTCACAATGACATTATGTGTTTCCAAGAGCTGGGGAGAGGATCATGAAGACCTCACGACAGAGAAATGATGGTTAATTAAGATGGTGGATATGCTAATTACCGGATGTGATGTCACGTGTGCGTACATGAACTAAACATTACGCTGTGTTCCACAAATACATGTAAATACTATATATCAAGATCATTTTCTTTCAAAAAGTCACTTTGCCCAACACAGAACCCATAGAGGACGGGACACACACACACACACACACACACACACACACACACACATGCCTGGTGCCTGAGAGTGTGAGAACACAGGCAGCCTGTGTTTGGGGACTTTTCTACTGATGTGGAGGAGAAGTTAGAGCCAGAAGCATGGGCTAAGAAAAAGCCAAAAGCAGTGAGAGAAAGCACTCATGCCAGACACAATAACCCCCAAGCCGTCCTCCCCAGCAGCCTTGTTTCCTTCGGGCCTTGTGCGTGTGGAAGTGGCCTCAGCGGCGCCCGTGGACACTGAGTCACTTTCACTGTGCCTGTTCCCGACCTGCTCTGCCCCAGCCTCTGTAACGGGCAGCGGCACCTGTGTGTAACAGGCAGAGGCACCTGTGTGCAGGTGTGTTGGTGTCTGGGGGAGGGGCACGTGACAGGATAACTTCAGCTGTCATTCTTTAGGTAGCATCCTCCTAGATTTTCAAAATGGGGCAGGTGTCCGCCATCTCCTCCTCCCCAGCACCGGGATTACCAGAGTGCGCACCACACCTGTGAGGGGCTTTGTTTGTTTGCGATCAGGCTTGCAAAGCAAGCATTGTACCATCTAAGCTCTCACTCCGGCCCTGTAATTAGGTACTTTTAGTAATGGGATGAGCTCCTAGAAGACTTGACCCTAAACAAAAGCTAGACCTCCGCAGCAACAGTGTGGCTCCCCACGTTGGCCTGTTCCCCCTCCCACACCAAGCAGACCTGTCTGTACCCTGGATAATCTCTCGGAAAGCCAAACCTGCTCACAAGCATCAAGCTTGGAGAAACTTAGCAAATGTTCTCTAGCACACCAGTGTAACTGTCATTTTCACCTCCAAATTAAGGATTTTCATTCCCGTCCTTAGAATTTCCAGCAGAACACAAAAGTCTAAATGAGGGTGTTCTCAGCAAAACTGGAATGCCACAGCCCCCTCCTGCGCTGGAACCAAATGAGGAAACCAATCTGTGGGCAGAGATGCAGTGATCTCAGTACATCGAACTCTCACAACTTCTTATCACTCTCTGCTCCTTCCAGAGTCAGCGCCCATATCAGTGGGAGAGATGAGGACAGCATCCTGACCAGGCAATGAACTGTCCTTGTCACAGGTGCCACAGTCACCTGCGTGCGGCACTTGGTCCCAACAACAGGTCTCATACAGTCCAACACTTGGGGGCTCTGAACGGTCTATTTGCAGCTAGGCATTTTCCTGTTTGAGAAGGAAGCTATGCCAGACCCAGCAGCACACACCTGAAATCCCAGCACTAGAGACGCCATGCTGGCAGGGAGCTAGTCTGCACTCTCCAGGACCCAGCCTCGATAAAAATGTAAAACCATAAACAAGCAAAGGGGAGCATTCATTAAAGGTCCTTCCCAGGACTCAGAGGGAAATCTAAGAATGCATACTTTCGTATCTGACTGCGCTAGGGACCATTCCACCAAACAAATGCTTTTTCATTTCTGTTCTGAGCCCTGAGCTACTTGTCCCTCCTCAGGCAGCCCTGGCTGTGAGTGGCTATCTCTTTCCTTGGTTAGATTTATTTATCGTATTTTACGTGTATGAGTGTTTGTCTGTGTAAATATATGTACACCATGTGTGTGCCTCGTTTCTACAGAGTTAAGAAGAGGGAGTTAGAGCCCCTGAGACAGGAGAGAGTTACAGATGATGGTGAACCACCGTGTGGGTGCTGGGTACCAAGCCCAGGCCCTCCGGAAGAGCAGCCAGTGCTCTCATTCTCTGAGCATCTCTTTCAGTCCTTGAGCGACACTGGACTCTAATTCAGACAAGTGGGGGATCTACCCTAGGTTTGATAACTTGCCAGCTAGGTGGTCTGGAACAAGCTTCCTGACTTCCTCCAAGGCCCCCTGCCCATCATCTGCGATGTGAACATGATCCTGGTGTCTGCCTCCAGAGCTGGTGGGGAGTGAGGCTGCCAGTGGGATCTACTGCTGTGTTCAGAAGACTAACTGCTGCGGTAGTGATCTGGCATGGCTCTCCGGACCCTTTGCAAGGCAGCGGCTCCTTTCATGTCTCTGTGGGTGCTGGGGGTAGACAGGAAGAAAGATTTCCACAGGGGCTGCTCAGAAGGGTGGGAACAGCTGCAACGGGCTTTTTTAGTCCAGGCCTGTCACTACGTTCAGCTCAGACAGGGGAGTCATGAACTGGCCGGGCTCCCTGCGTGGGACACTGTGTCACCAGCTCCTTCTGAATCGTCTTTCAGCTAGGAGCTACCACCAGCTTCTTGCGGTGGCGGTCTAGCA